ATCAGTCAATCAGTCAATCAGTCAATCAGTCAATCAGTCAATCAGTCAATCAGTCAATCAGTCAATCAGTGCCTTTTTCTACTCCGACGACGGCAATCCTCCCCCACGTGCTCTTCACCCCAACCCCATCACATCCGCACTGCGAGTCTGCTTCTGCAAAAATCACCAAAGTCCTCGTCCGGCCAACTACTTCCTCGGGTGCTCGGGTGCTCGGGTGCTCGGGTGCTCGGGTGCAAAGACACACCAACTCCTTTCGGGTGTCTGGGAAAGCCGGCTTTTTGGCGTATGCAGGTAGAGTTTCGAGCCTAGCAGTAAATCAGTAGTATGAGTTGTGCTCACCCAATTTCGTAGTACTGGTAGTCGAATATTCCGTTGAATTTCACACATTTTGCGAAGGCAAGGCTCTGTGAAACGGGGAATAGAAACGTCAGCTCTACTCATGCCACGAAAGAGCTGGCACTAACCCTAACCCTGAATGGTGTGTGTGTGTGTGTGTGTATGTGGATTTGCAGGTGACATTGTTAAAGTAGGATGCGGTGGCTGCCAGACTGTACTACTGACGAGACTACTTAAATGATCATCTTGTTCGCCTCGGCCGAATCGAGTCGAGGCAAGCTGCTTCGGAGGCAAACTGGAGCGCGTCTGTCGTCTCCGTAGGACATGCAAATAAACGCACGGACACGATTGTGTCTCTTCTTGCTGCAACGTCAAGACACACCGACACACACAACACAGACAGCCAGTGTGCAGATGAGCTCTACTCGTCAGCCTCTGACCGGCCGAGATTGGCGCCACATCTTCACCGTCGTGCATCCCACCAGACATAGTGTGAAATTGCAATTGCCCATTTCCCATTTCCCATTTCCCATTTCCCATTTGGCAGTTACCACTTGCCTGTTGACGAATGGCTGACATGCAAGCAGCAACAGGAGGCCAAGTGGGAGGCACGCGGGGTGGGGGAGAGAGCGGAGCGTTGTGAGTTGCCGGAAGTGGCCGAGAGTGGGCGGTGCACTGGCGGCGGAGGTGGCGCAGGTCTCGGAGTGAGAATGATACCAACTGCTGCTTGGCCAAGTCCTATTTTCCAGTCACCAGCCTCGACGATGCGATGGAAGACGGTCAAATCATCTATCTCTCTCTCACACTCTCTACTTCTGTCTCGCTCTCTCATCCTCTCTCTAACTCCTCTTCATCTCTCTTCCTTTCTCACTCTCTCTTTGTCTCTCTTGTTCTCTCTTCCTCTCTCTTCAACTCTCTTACACTTTCGTTCTCTCTCTTCCTGTCTCTTCACCTCTCTGTTCAATTCTCTTCCTTAATATTACTCTCTCTTCACCTGTCTTCATCTCTCTTCCTGTATATTCCTCTATCTTCCTCTTTCTCTCACTCTCTTCACTCGATAGCTCTCTCTTCATCTCTCTTCCTCTCTCACTCTCTCTTTGTCTCTCTTGTTCTCTCTTCCTCCCTCTTCAACTCCCTTCCTATCACTTCCTTTCTCTTCGGCATTCTTCCACATTCTTTCACTCTCTTCAACTCTCTTCTTCTATCTTACTTTATCTTCACCTCTCTTTCAATATCTTCCTCTTCCTCCTTCTCTCTTCACCTCTCTTCACCTCTCTTCATTTCTCTTCCTGCATATTCCTCTATCTTGTTCTTTCTCCCACTCTTTTCACTCGATAGCTTTCTTTTCATCTCTCTTCACCTATTTTCAACCCTATTCACGTCTCTTCCTCTCTCTTCCACTCACTTCATCCTACTTCCTCTCTATTCCTCTCTCTTCCTCTTTTGTTATCTCTCATCCTCTCTCTTCACCTCTCTTCCAATCTATTTCTCTCTGTTCAAATCTTTTCCACTTTCTCCTTCTCTCTTCCTCACTTTTCACCTCACTTCCACTCACTTCAACTCTATTCCTCCCTCTTCCTCTCTATTCCTCTCTCTTCATCTTTTGTTCTCTCTCTTCCTCTCTCTTCACCTCTCTGTTCAATTCTCTTCCTTAATGTTCCTCTCTATTCACCTCTATTTCACTATCTTCCTCTCTCTCCATCTCTCTTCCTCTCTCCTTCTCTTTTATTCTCTCTCTACC